CTTTTTAGAGTTACTTTATTATTGGAAAAGCCAAAGTATAATCTGTTTTAGTTGTTTTTTAAATGTTTGCGTTTTGTGCAAAGATTAAAATGAAGCCACTCCAACCTGTTGAAAAACCTATGAGGATTTGAGAATCATTTTCATGAAGACATGACTTCTGTCAAGAAAAGCCTAGACATGGATTTTTAGGAAATGGTTTCTGATGTGCACCGTAAATATTGTATGTAACAGAATCACAAGGAGAAGAACATTTGTGACCATGAGCAAAAGAAAAAATGAGATTGGCTTTGTAGACGATGCAAAGGATAAGAACAGGGAGGAAATGAAACCTCAGACGCTGCTGATGGTGGATGGGCAGGTGGTGGTCACACAAAGTGCTGTGGCTTTAGACACATTAAGCTGCTGGTAACGTAGCAAAAGGCAGATAAAGCAATAGTATTTTGGGGGTAGGCAGCAGCTTTTAACCCTGGAAAAATATTGCACTAATTTCTGACCCCTACACCCCCCAATCCATTTTGGAATTAAGACCCACTTGCTGCTGTAGCAAGATGAAATAGGGGATTCAAAGGGAAAATTCAAAGCAAATGCCTCTGTAGACATCAAAATGGGTGTCTGTGGAACAATCCCCTGCAGGGGCTCGGTGTGATGGTTCTTACTCCTGTGGCTTTTCGTGGGGTGCCTGAACTTGTCACCATGCTGCAGATGTTAACTCAAGTACCTGCCTTTACCTTTTAGCCGTGAAACACAATGTGCTGCGAGAAGCTGTTACTTTTTTAGATTATCTGTTTATAAAAGTTAGCAGTTACGTTATATAGAGTTTCTTTTAATTAAATGTTGATCTTTCATGTCTAGAGGTGTGGGCAGGACAATAAAGGAAAAGCTTGGATGAAAAGTAGCGTCTCCTGTATTGCAAAACTGTTGGAATGGGAAATGTCTGAGTAGGGACTGACAGCATTTCCTCTGATGTCTAAATTATTTTTATCTCTGACGAACAATAACATAGTTTAATTTGTAATGATGCTGCGCTCTCCGGATTGCTCTTTGCTTACCATATTCTCTTTATATCTGCACAAAATGCTTCCTTGATGCTCCTTGTGATACAGCAACAGAGTGCTATGCAAATAAACATTTTACACCAAGTGAAATATTTTATTTATGCATGAATGAACTTCCCCCCTTCAGATTTTCCTTATGACTACTGTATAAACGAAGAAAGATGTACTCTGCATACACATTTTGTATTTCAAAGCTTCTTTTTTCCTGGGGAATTTGCTAGGGTCAAACACTTGCGAAGTTAACTTTGGTAAAGATATACCATTTTGTATTTTGAAATCCATCACAATGTATGTTGATAGAAACACTCCCGTCAGTGCCTGCTGTTGATACTGGCCCTATGAATCCCTACTTTGATACCACTCTCAAAACCCTGCGAAAGTCCTGGATCAGATTTCAGCGAAAATGTCTAAAACTATGCTGGAAACAAATACATCTGGCATTGCAGATGAACTGAGCAGTCACTGAGCAGAAGTTTTGGAAACCAAGACAGTTAACTTTTGCTTTGGACGTAGGACTGATCTTAATGATTTTTAAATGTGCAGTCCAGAACCCAGTGCACACAGCTTTACAGAGAGCTAGCATGTACAGAGATAAAAGATCTTACTGTCTTTAAAGAGTTCAAAAATCTTTTGTTTCACAGTATCAAAAGGCCATGTGCTCATTGATCCAGTTTCTACTGCTTAAAAATGGTTTTTCAACTTTGTTTATGCTTTGTCTCCATTGTCTGCCTATACTTGTTTAGAAATGCCGTAAGGTCAGAAAATTAAATATTAAATTATATATCGTATACTTAACTATATTGATATATACTAAGTACTAAACATTTGTTTTATGTTATTGCGTAATTTCATATGTTTCTTTTGCAAGATTTAAGAAGCTTGTTTTCTAAAGAAGCTGAAAGTCTCAGGTTGTGTCTACATTAGCATTTGAGTTAGACCAGGATCCCACTCCTGAAGCAGTTGCCCCTGCTTGCAAGACTGCAGTTCGTGTCGTGGAGCGGAGTTGGAGGGCAAGAACAGGACTGCTTTAGGAAGATGCAGTGCGGGGCTTACCTTTAGGTAAACCCTTCCTATGGTTTTGCTCTTACAAAATGTTCAGTCCTTGGGGCTGTACTGGAGAGAATGGGGCAATAACTCCCCTCAAAGCAGGTATGGGCTTCAGCACCAACTGTTGGGGCTATTTGCCAGTGTAGACCTGGCTGAGTCCTGTGAAGACCATGGACTTTCATCTCCATGAGGAACAAGCCCAAAAACCAGTCCTTCATGATGAGGCTCAGGATCTTCTCTTTGGTTGGTGCCATCGCGTGTGTTATCTCACATAGTGTGTTTGTGTGATTTCACATGACATCGAGTGGACTTCTATGGGAGCACGGAGCACCTGCATGTGGGCATTACTGATCCGGTGTTGTTACCGTCACAAACAAATGCTAACCTTGAGTTTGCCAGCACAACCTCACAGCAGGCTTAAGTTACAGCTGTTCACGTGCTTTAAGCTGCAGAAAAAAAATCTGAGTAAAAATGCTTTTCTCTGAGTTTACGCTGGCACTGGGCAAGCTGCAGTCTCTAAAGAGATTCTTCAGCTTTCTTACAGCAATAGGGAAGGATTTTTTGGCTGACAACTTAGATCAAATTACCTTATGTCCTCCACTTTAGCTGTTTGTTCTGTAGAAGCAGAACTGTTCAAGAGCAAAAAGGTTAGCACTGAGGTGACTAAATACCTGATCTTGCAGATACAGCAGGTAATTAAACACTGGGCTTCCTGATGTCCAGGGTGAGCGTGCAAACACCAGCCTGCCTGTGGGTGTACAAAATTTTCCTATGAACCACAGAGCAAGAGTCATCTATATATCCACAATTATAAATAAATATAAAACAAAATTTAAAAAATCCTTCTCAGTATTTCGAAACAGCTAGTATGTAACCCATGTAGAGCTGAGAATTTGGGAAAATCTCCCAAGGGGTGTTTTCGCAAACTAATATTAAGCGTTAAAGATACTTGCTCCTAAGGGAAGCTCCTGGGTGAAGGTACCCCCCAGTGCCTTCAAACGAGTATGGGAACGTGGAAATGTTTCGCAAACTAATATTAAGCGTTAAAGATACTTGCTCCTAAGGGAAGCTCCTGGGTGAAGGTACCCCCAGTGCCTTCAAACGAGCATGGGAACATGGAAATGTTGAGACTGAAGAAGAGGAAACTGTATTTTCTGCCTCTGTGGGATGATGATGCCTTGTCAGTGTCTATTGATTTTCTGTATCATTCCTTTTATTTTTTATTCCAAGAGAAGACGAGAAGGGGAGCAATGGGTTCTCGTGCTGCTTTTAAACCAGTGTCACAGTTCACTGCATCACTGTGGAAATATTATGGACGCCCAAGATTTGTTGACAAGAGGTGACAGCTAATTTGCAGAAATGGTAGGAGAGGTGATACCCTCCTCTTCTGTTTAGAAGAAGAGGCTTAGCCCAGGGATAGGCCAGTGCCCCTGTCATTACGTGGTGCTTCCTCGATGGCAGGTGGGAAGTTGAGACCTCCCACGTGGGAGTGCTTGTGGCCTTGGTTTATTGTTATAGTCAGTTAGGATTACGATTATTATCAGTATTACAAAAGTACAAATCTTAATGTGAACCCAGACCAATCTGGCTAATTTTCCTACCTACAGGGGTAGGGTGTGCAAGGCACCATCCCATTGAACCAGTTGTGTCTGCACATGGACACCTCTCCTACTTTAACTGTTTCCTAGGAAGACCTTTGCTATCCTAGAGATGAAGGCAAAAGTGAGATGTAGTAGAGGGTGTCACAACCTGCTTTAGCTTCTCCAGCTGTGTTTTAGTTGGTGCTGGTTTACTTGAGCCCGTATATGCACTCAGCTCTTATTTTAGTTTTCACATTGTTCTTCAAAGAACTGGCTTTAAAGATTAATTAGGGCAGGGGGGGAGTGAGAGTGTGTGCCTGCGAGGGAAAATGTGACTGTGAACCTAGCATTAGAGCACTGACCTGAAAGGAGGGAGAGAGGAAGGAAGGAGAGGTTTGAAAAACATTCGTAGTGGATTCTTTGAAGAGTAAGTATAATTACTGTCCTCCAAGGGAGGAATATAGAGATAATGTTGTATATATGCTTGCTGAAGTACTGTGCAATTACATCATGGGATTAGCAGTCAGCTTCCAGTCGTGTAGATGCTAACAGCTGTATCTCATCCGATTTAGCATGGATGCACATCCTGAGAGAAGGATTATCCTTCTAAATTGTACTGAAGAAGAAATACTTGCGTGGTGATTTGCCATCACTGATACACACATTGGCTATTTTAGACTGCTGTAACAGGCCTATTTGGACAAGGAGATTCGTTACTGAAGGTCACGGTAGCAGCGGATCTGCCTCGGAGCTGGGACTGCACAGGTCATCAGCCTCACGTCAGCTGGGGATTTGAACCAAGCGGAGCTCCCTACTAGACTGGCGTATGGGAAATGAAGTGGGGAGATCCGGGCAGTGCTAACTCCAGCTGCAGTTCTCATCATTTGGACTGGAATTTTTTCCTACATCTTCAGAAGCAGCCTTTTCTCTAAAACGTACAGAAATGAGTTGTCACTACAGTAATTACATTTTTCCTAAATCAATTCTGAAGCTCACAGAAGTATCAGAAAGATGTAAGGGGTTGGGAGGGGGGGCAGACTGGGGAGAAAAGATGATAAATCTGAAAATGCTGAAATAGTAAATAACTGTTTTGAAATATTTACTTCATCTGTAGGTTGAGACAAGAAGGCATTTCTTTCCTTTGCAGCAGAAAAGAGCTGTCAGCCTGCACTCCTAACCTTCAGTTGCTCTCCCCATGAACTATTGTGTGTGAAAAGGAAGCACGTTTTTGCTGCATAGCCCAGATGATTGCATGGGAAACGGCTTGGTTTATGGCATAATGTTTTTGTTTAATACCTTTTTTATTCCAACAGGAAATATGGGATGTATAAAATCAAAAAGGAAAGAGAATCTGCATGGAGATGGGCTAGATTTGAAGAATCAACCAGTACGTAAAACTGAACGAACTATTTATGTGAGGGATCCAACGTCCAATAAACAGCAAAGGCCAGTAAGTAGATAGTCTCAGGGGAGAATTCCAGTAGCAAGATCAAAGCATGACTGCCATAACTTAAATTTCAATCCAAAGCACATGCATGAAGAAATTCAGATGATCATTAGTCCACAATTGGGCTTTCAGTGTTGTGCAGTTCACCTGCAAGAAATGAGTACTTAAAGAAATAAAAAATAAAAATTGGCAGTTTGTTACTTAATTACTTTATGTTCGTCTTAGTTTTCTGCGTGAAAATAGTAATCCTTGGCAAGGCTTGATCTAGATATAGCTATGTCTGTAAAAGAATGCTAGGTGACGTTAGAGAACCTGAAGTAGCTTAGAACTGATTTTAAAAGCATCAGTGCTGGGGGTTTAATGGGATCCAGGTGTTGATTATTCTGTTTTAAAAGGCTGAAGGAATCCTGGGTGATTCTTCACCAGCTGTAGTCAACTTTCCTTTTGCTCGCTGAAGGCCAGGACCGAACCGTGCAGGAGGTGCGGGGTGAGGATGGGAGGGGAGCGAAGCGGAGCGTGTGGGAGGAACAGGCTGGTGGTGGCTGGAAAGGCAGGGTGCTGGGAAGGGGAATCCCGTCAGGTACCAAGTGGGTTTGCTATTTTGCAGATTGACTGGTACCTTTTTTCTCCCCTACCCTTTCTACCATGCTGAGGAAACCGTATTTCCTGGGGCCATGCTCTCTGCGGGTGTGAAGGAGACCCTTCTCTCCCCTCTCACCAGCCGACACAGTGGACTCAGCATGCTCTCAGTCAATGTACATGCATCCCAAGCTACTACTATTTTTTTCTTAATTACTCTTTTTTTTTTTTTCCTTGCACAATCTTAGCAACATAACCGTACTTGTAGTTCTTTAGCATGACAGCTACATGTTAATAACTGTCCTGTTAAAGTCCCCTGCCTAAAGCCTCTTCAGCAGAAGTTGCAAAGCTGTGAACTTTCTCCCCACAGCTTGTGTCACACCTTCCCGAAGTCTGAGCTGCTCAGTTCAAAATCTAGTGGGGACTTACTACGTTTTTATGTTGTAATTTGGTTTTGAAGAATGGTGGGAAAAGAGTGGAGCATTTCCTTTTAATTTAAGACATGTAAGATGATACCAAAGCAACTGAATAATACAGAATCATAATGTAAGATTGTCACAAAGACCTAAAACTGCTTAATTAAAGACATAAGATGATACCAAAGCAACTGAATAATACGGAATCATAATGTAAGATTGTCACAAAGATCTAAAACTGCTTAATTAAAGACATTTTTTTATCGTAGGCAAATCCAGAGGCACAGCTCTTACCAGGACAGAGGTTTGTCAGTGAAGGTACGTTCTCATAGGAATCTTACTGCTGTGTGCTGTGCCCACGTCAACCTGTGAAATAATGCGAACATGCCTTCTACTTTTGTAGAAACAGAGGAGCATGGAACCATCGTGATAGCTTTGTATCCCTATGATGGCATTCATGAAGATGACTTGTCCTTCAAAAAAGGAGAAAAATTGAAAGTTATTGAGGAGTAAGTATGGCAGTACTGATTGTATCACAGAACCACAAAATGGTTTGGTTGGAAGGGGACCTTAAGGACCATCCAGTTCCAACCCCCCTGCCATGGGCAGGGACACCTTCCACCAGACCAGGTTGCTCAAGTTGGCTTTGTGGGCTGCCAGCGCACATTGCTGGGTTGTGTTGAGCTTCTCGTCAACCAGCACCCCCAAGTCCTTCTCCTCAGGACTGCTCTCCATCCATTCCCTGCCCAGCCTGTATTTGTGCTTGGGATTGCCCCTACCCATTGTAGTTTTTCTTTAGGCTCATCTAATTCCCTTTATAATGTGTTGACATCCTACTCACGAGAGTATGAATGGTAAGAGAGCCCCCTTACATGTGAAAATACAAGTGCATGTGGAGCTGTTGGTTGGACTTGGCAGCTGCCCTGGGTAACAGTGACCAAACACTGGAGCCGATGGCTTCTCAGGGGGCTTCAGTTCAGAGGAAAGATGCTGCTTCTCTCTCCAGTGTGGGCAAAGCTCTCAGCACAGTAGAACCCAAATAACACTTGATCATTTTTCTCTCCTGTGAATACTACTGTTGTTTCTGTTTTTCAGGCTGGGAGAATGGTGGAGAGCAAAATCTCTCACGACAAGGAAGGAAGGCTTCATTCCCAGCAACTACGTAGCAAAAGTAAACACCCTGGAAACAGAAGAGTAAGTTCTCCCAGGCTCTAAATACTGGCAAACTTCTTTATCCTGGTGCTGTATCCTTTGTGGGTGGGGGATAGAAAAGGTTCTAACTCTTTGAAATATTTTTCAGATGGTTCTTCAAAGATATAACCCGAAAAGATGCTGAAAGACAACTTCTGGCTCCTGGAAACGGTCCTGGAGCTTTCCTTATCAGAGAAAGTGAAACATTAAAAGGTAGGTGTTGGGGTGGGTTATTTTGGAATTGATAGTAGAGTTCAAAACATACAGCCTATCTTCACAAAAACTGGCATGGGGTGGCACTGGGTGTGGAGTAGTCCCAGTGTGTCCTATTGTGTGAATTTTCTGTAGTTCTGTAGGAGTGAGAAGGATGAGAAAATCATCAGGAAAAGAGAGAAGAGAGTTACAGGTTAACACCTGAAGGTGAGATAGGGAAAAAAAAGCATGCATGTGATTACACTGACAAGAAGCAGGAATGAATGAAGTGAGAGATCTTTTCTCTTCTTAACATTTGTGATTCCTTTACTGAAGCATACTTTTCACTGTAAATAGTAGATGCTGCATTTTATAGTATACCATTATTGGGTTTGGATCCATTGCCACAAGTTTTAAAATGTAGTTAGTGCATGAGGGTTTACACTTCTGCATTGTAATGTGATTTTTTTTCAAAAAGCTTTTTGGTAAAGGTTTGTGCTGTAGACAGAGCTCTTTGTACTGAAAAGCTTCATGAAGTCTCCAGGCTCTTTGGCCGGGATTTTGAGAAGAGCATAGGAGGTTCTGCCCCAGCATCTGGACCCTGACAGCAGCCTGGCTGGATGCTCCAGCTGGATATGGGCACTGCCTGCTCCAGAGGAAGATGCATGAAGCCCTTCATTGGGCCATATGTCTGACCTCTCCGCAGGGTAGCTTCTCTGGCCCCAACGCTGCACACTCTTGGTTAGGTAGCTCTCTGTAATGGGCCCATATTGCTGTTTCTGTGCTCTCAGATGAAGACTCCTAAATGAAGTTCTCAAGCGAAGACTCCTAAATTCAACACAGGCTGCTGAGAGTAAGGCAAAGCACCCCCAGAATATTTCTTTCTATCCCCTTCTGTCACTGGATCTGTGTGGGGGGAGAGAGAAGGAGATGAGGTGGTTTCTTATCCTTTGCAAACGGACAACAAGAATTGTATGAGTGGAAGAAACGAAGAGCTCTGTAGTTAAGGGCAGATGCTCTGCTGCCCCATCTTAAATCCCAGCTGAGGTTTGGCTCCCTAGGACTGACAGATCTGCTCTCCCTCCTGTATGCCTCAAGCCATCTCCAACCCATCCTTTTGCTAGTTGACCCACAACATCCTCAAGGGCGTGTTCCTTTTCCGAAACGCTGATCTCCGAATTTCAGCTTCTGCCGGAGGAGTGTGACAACCCTGGCCTTGCTTTCCCAGCCAGTTCTGCTCCAGCTGGGGGGATTTTCTGCAGAGAAGTGGACGTTGGACATGGAGCTGCCTGGGTGATGGAGCTCCTGAGTTGGTTGAATAAGATTGAAAAAGAAAGTGTGAGTGTAAGCATTTTGGTGACCAGTTCAGGACAGGCTATTGGCTAACTTCCTCCTGCTGATTGCAAAAGGCTTTTTGAGGAAATACGGGAATAAAAACAAAAACAGGCAAAAAAGTCAGTTTTGTTAGGCTCAACTGTATATGCGTGGGCACTATAGACTTTTGCTATCTGTTAACGATCATTCTTTCTTTATCCATAGGCAGCTATTCTCTCTCCATAAGAGACTATGATCCACAGCATGGCGATGTTATTAAGCACTACAAAATTAGGAGTCTAGACAATGGAGGATTTTACATCTCTCCAAGAATAACTTTTCCGAACATCAATGATATGATCAAACATTATCAAAGTAAGTCAAATCAGTTAGTGAATTACTTCATAGAATACAGCCACTATTTCCTGTGAAGGAATATAAATGCTTTCTTGTTTTCTTTCAAACACTTTCATCTTTTTTTTTTTTTGCCTAAATAACTCAGACATGCATGTTATCAAAGATAAAGTAAAACTGGTTGGAACCAAGTAATGTTGTTATCATAATCAGACCTAATGCTGCTTGCTCTGTGGCATACCATTATGAAATAAAGAACAGCTTTATAAAACACCTCTTCAAAGTTATGACGATGTGAAGCTATAGTAAGAATTGCCTGCACTGTAAATAAATTAATTCTGTATTTGAGAGTAAATTTGTATTCACAGTTAGCAGAAATACATATAGACTTGTGAAGGTCATCTTGTATCTGGTGTTGAGCATGGAATTGTTTTTATTTTTTCCTATAAAATTATTTATTTAATTTTCTATTGTTAGTGGCGTTTTGAAGGAAGTAAAATTCCATTTACTTCAAGAAAGAAAATTGCACCCACATAGTATGTATACACTTTTTATTAAAAAAAAAAAAAAGGAGGTGGGGAAGGGACAAGTTTCTAGCTGTCTTTTAGCTACAAAAGTGACTTTTCATTCTGCCTAACCTCCTGGTGGATAGCTCCAAAATACAGTGGTTTTTTTTAGTCTTGTAACTCCAAAGACGGAGAAGACAAAAAATGTAGGACAGAAAATCACATAGTCATTTTTCAAAGCCACGCTGAGGACTTGGCCATGAGATTTCTCTGAGTTGTCAGACATGTGGGGTAATACTTTAGCACAGCTGGAAAACCTGAGAATTTTTCAACATTTGATTAAAGTTATAGCTGGTGAGTGTCTGGAGGAGAAAATAGTGGTGACCTACTTATGCTTGCATGCACATGTGTCTGAAACCATGCTGCAAGAAAATTTAATGACAAATTCAGAATCCGGGTCCCAAGCCTGACTCCAGTGTGTATCTTCATGCACATACTGTCAGTAATCGGATCTTATATTGTATTTATTGGGTACAAATTGTACTAAAACCCCTTAATAATCTGATGGTAACCAGATGCATGTGACATTTCTTTATTAAATTTGTCTCTGAATACCAAATTTCAGTTCAGAGGTGTTTAAAGTTATGTGAAAGCACCAGGAAGGTTATGTTTTCATCAAAGCATCTGAGTATTTTGAACATTATTTTGAGCAGGTTAGTGCACACTTGCAATTAAATAATGTTTGTCTCAAGTCATGAGGCACAGAAGTGTAACGGATTTTGTATTTTGTTTTTCCTTTGAAAACCAGAGCAATCAGATGGCTTATGCAGAAAGTTGGAAAAAGCTTGTATTAGTCCGAAGCCTCAAAAACCATGGGATAAAGATGCATGGGAAATTCCAAGGGAATCGATTAAATTAGTGAAGAAACTTGGAGCTGGTCAGTTCGGAGAAGTCTGGATGGGTAAGTTTATTCCTTTGAAATGAGAATTTAAATCTGCTGAAAGAAGTGCCATTTCAGGGTCATTCCGAAAAACAGTGGACGTGACTTTGGTCCAATATGCTTGTAAACCAGCAAAATCAGGCCCAGAATATACTTTTTTGTGAGGAGTGAGGGTTTGTGAGGGGGAAGATACCTGGCAGAGATGTGGAACAAACCCTTTGGTGTCTTTTAAAGGGGAAAAAAAATAGTAAGCACTGTAATTTAGAAGGTCAAAGACAATAGGAGGTTTTTTGGTTGTATTTTGTGGAGGAAGTAGAAGGTTATAGTAAGATGTGACTCCCAATTCTCAAAAATTGATGGGCCTCTCTGAACTTGGTTTCAGATCAGAAAGTGGTAAAGAACATGAAATAAAAAGAAATCATGTCTTTTAGTGAATTATGTATAGAGTTTTCCTTGTCTCTTGGTAAAGACGACGCTGCAATGTAATGCATGGCGCTGCCATACTGGGTGAAAAAAGGGGACATTTAATCTAAGATTATTGTCTGCCAGCTTGCTGCTCAGAAAGTAGGTGACTGACTTAGTAAGAAGGTTAGAGACTGATCACCTCCTACCTAGAATTATCATGCAAGTCCCCAATAATGAAAGTGTCATAAGACTTACAAGTTGTAAATGTTAATATATACCTGGCCAAAAATGATAGTGTTAATTATTATAACCATAATTAGCTTTGGCTTATAAACAATATTTTCTCAGCCTCAGTGACTTCCTGTGGCAAGGGGCTATGACCAGTGTCTAATAACGTCCTGCAAAAATGATTTAATCCTCTTGCATTTGAAATGCTGCCTACTCAGGCTTCTGAGTATTTTTTGGGTTCCGTATTGCATGTTCTGTGTACTATTCATTACTTACACACTTGTTACCATCTTATTTGAGGTAAACTACACCTTCTTCCCAAAGTCTTCACTAGGATGTTTTTTTCAGGCCAAATCATTCTCTTAGCCCTCCCCTGAATCTCCTTTTTGGACGTTAGATTCAAATAGTAATAAAATTGTTACAGTTCTAATAATAATAATCAGATTATTATTGTTGTTATTATTATATTGCTAAGCAAGGCTCTATAGGCAGGGCATTTCTAGCCAACTGTAAAAGTGTATCCCAAAGCTTACTAGAAGACTCAAAGCTACGAAGGGTGCGACACTCTGACGGGAACGTCATTGCTGTCAAGAGACACTATCGTTTCGAAAAGTAAAGCACAGAGTGATGCTGTTGGAGTGGCAAATCCCATACACAACTGCAGTGTCAATCAGAAAGCTCTAATTCAGTCATAGGTGCGATCTTTTCATATAAAGCATGTAAAAAAAATGCAAGCAACACATCTCTATAGTCAATAATATAATATAATCAACGTAGCCAAATTCAGCCTCTTATCTGCCTTCATGAGAAAAAGCTGAAGAAAGCCTCGAGCTGTAGTACACATGAGTGACAATTTACATATGAGTTAAGACAAGCGTCAGCCATTGTGCAGGTTTTTTTCTGTCTAATAAACCAGGGCAAGAAATGTTTAACTGACACTGCAACGCTGTGGAAGACGTTGTGGCAGAAGGCAGTCACCTGCTTGAAAATGTAGATCATTTTGGGAAGTGACTACTTCTGCGCACACACACACACAAAGGCATGAAACTTGAAAAGGGTGTTTCTGGTTCAAGATGTTTCCTCTTGTTTGTGTCATTATTTTAACATCTAAACTGGGCCTAACCCATGCGTCTGAATTGCTGCACTGTGAGAAAAATTAATGTACTGTGAAAGTGATGGCTGTGTTTCCTCTTCTCTGCTTCCTTTCTGAAGCAAGAGAAGCTGATTTGCATCGCACAGGTCCTCTCGATTCAGGAGCGTGGTTAATCTCAGAACCAAGGAAGTTTAAGCTGGAGAAGACTTATTAGGTCAGCTGTGGGGTGCAGGGTATCAACAAACACTGTGTGCTGTAATGATCAACTTGGGGCATCAGGAGATACGTGGAGGTATGGAGAGAAAACCTAGTTGTTACGCTCTCCTGGTTACAGAGACAGTTGTTTTGCTCTCTCGTCATATAGAACAATATTGGTTTTCAGCGATAGTGCGAATTAGAGAGAAATATTGTTCCATGGTTTCATTACTAAATAAGTTTCTTGTTGATAAAGGGTACCTAGAATTGTGGTTTCAGAGGGAACAGTGTTCCATTCAGAGGAACTGGGCTCCCCAGTAAAGAGAGATATGGAGCTACTGGAGAGAGTCCAGTGAAGGGCCATGAAGATGATGAGGGTACTGGAGCATCTCTTGTACGAGGAAAGGCGGAGGGAGCTGGGACTGTTCAGCCTGGAGAAGAGAAGGCTCAGGGGGAATCTCATTAATGTATGTGAATACCTGGAAGGAGGGTGCAAAGAGGACGGAGCCAGGCTCTTTTCAGTGGTGCCCAGCACCAGGACCAGAGGCAATGGGCACAAACTGGGACACAGGAGGTTCCCTCTGAACATTAGGGAACACTTTTTGACTGTGAGGGTGACCGAGCACTGGCACGGGTTGCTCAGGGAGGTTGTGGAGTCTCCATCCTTGGAGATACTCAAAACCCACCTGGACATGGTCCTGGGGAACCGGCTCTGGGTGATGGCTCTGCTTGAGCAGGGGGGTCAGACCAGATGTCCTACAGAGATCCCTGCCAACCTCAGCCCTTCTGTGATTCTGTGATATATGGGAAGATCGGAGAGAATACTGTTACTGCAATGTGAAGATATGCCAGCATATCTTTTATAGTCTTTTCTTTTTAGTTTGTCCATAACTACTCTTTGGGCTTCCAAATTGACATCTTCCCCTTGCACCTTTTGGAGGGAGTTAGTTTATGTTATGGGAGAACTAAGAAAAAAAAAAAACAACAGACCCCTATATCCCCCAAGCGCTCGGCTGTGTGACCTGCACAGAAAATCTTTGTCACTTAGGAAGCAGGCAGGTGAATCTCCTCCAACTCTGAAGAGTATCTCTTACACAGAGAAAGCTTGCTAATAAGGACCATCAGTTTCCCAGTTTTGACTATCACTGCAAGTGCATTTAATTTCTTTCTTCATTACAGCTATGTGTAATTCTATTCATTTTATAAAGATTTTCTGGTTTTAGGCTACCAAGTCAGTGTTTATGTGTGTGTTTGGGGCATCAGCTGTCCTGACATGATAGATGGAAAGGGGACCGCAGAGTTGTGTTGACATTTTGTGTACCACCCCATGGCAGGGGTTGGCAAGCTGCAGCCTGTGCTTTCTGCCGTCACCTTTCATGGGCTGTAGGGAGACGAACTCAAGATGGAGCTACTCCGGCATTCATTCCTCTGGTCCTCGGCTGAGCAACGGCTGTAGTTGGTGAAGGAGGAGTGATGTGCGGACATGCAATAGGATACTGAGGAACAGCAGCTCCTCTGCCTCTTCACCCAAAACCTCCCGCAATGGTAACAGCCCAAGACATCGCCTGGCTTCTAAGTGTCATGTCTCTGCAGCTCAGACAGGTTGTTCCCAGTATAACCTTGCAGGGAATTACAGTGAAAGTAGAAGGCGGCGGCTGCATCTTGTAGGCTTGTTTGCAAAAAGTTGTTCATCTTTGGCCCTGGAGATCTGGTTGGAAATGGTAGGCTCAACCTCATTATTGTCTGTTATAAATTCATATTACAGCTTGGCCTGATTAAGCCCATGCAAGAATCTGGGGGCAACCTGACTCTCCAACATACTACTCAGTCAAAACAATCGTCATCAACTCCAAAATAAATACCTGAAACACTAACAATTTTTGGACGATCCCATTCTAACGCATAGAGAAGAACATGGCGCTCTGTGTAAGACATCATCACATTTAATTTTTAACAGAAGTCTAAACTGCAGAGAGCCTTGCTTCATGCCATGGTATGAAAGGGTTTTTGAGCATGGAGTTCAGCGCATCTGGGCAGATGCTTTAGTGATGTGCTGAACCTGGGTCTATGTTTTATGCATTTTTGTTCCTAGTGTGCACTGATATGATGTGAACCGTAATGCTCTGTGGTATTAATAATCCATGAGGAGATTTCTCAAGCAGGGCTAAGAGAAAAGTTAACAAGGCAAATGGAGCCATTATGGTGTATTTTATTAATGAGGCACATCTTGCTTGCATCTCAAGTGTAAAAGATTCTCTCATTCAGTAACCTCCGAATTAGAATAGAAGTAATACACACTTTGGAGGTGTATTTTCCTATGCAACTGTTAGAAAAATCAGAGTAAGTCATACCACAGGAACACTGTTGTTAAAATAAAAGACATCTAAATTGAACCAAGAAAACTTGCCAGTACATCTCATCAGTATCAGAAACAGATTTTTACAGTACAGACACGAGCTGAAGGTTAGTTGCAAAGAATCTGAGTTTTATTTCTGATGTTCTAGATGTAAGCAAGAATTTCATTGCTTACCTATCTTTTTGAATTCACGTTTAGGTAGCAAACTGATCGTATGTTCATTCATATCATATGGCGTCACCAGTATCCTTCTGTGATGCAGATCAAACCTTAAGTTTGCTGTCGCTGAAGCACTTTGAGGTCATCGGTCTCCCTCTGTGTGCATAAAGGCTGCAGTTTCTTACCTGTACAGTAAAAATGTTCCTGCAAAGCAGATGATCATTGTGGAAACTACACCGAGGTTCTCAGGGGAATGATAAGTGACCTGGCAGGAGGACTAGGACAAGCACTCTGTTAAGCTGGGGTGGTACAGATGCATGCTAAAAAGACGCTGCCTGCTCCAGGTCTGATGTGGTCCTCAGCCCAAATCAAGCTAACGCTGGTTTTGGTGATAACAGGTGGGCAAGAGAGGTGACACATTCCAGTTTTGTCAAACTGTCAAGGGTCCATTTTTCACAGATGCCATTGTGTGTGCTCATTGAGTTCATGGCCACCTTTCCTCAACGGTTTGGTGTCCCATCCCTCCCAACACCTGATGAAATAAACGAACGTGAGAGATCAGGATCAATTATCTCTAGTGCTCTCATCAGCTAATTTGCTTTGTGTGTATCCCTGCAGTGTTGTAATAAAGTAACCTTTCTGTAAGTAGAACCCTGGGTTGATGGAGCTCTTTAGCGAGTGTAAAATCCTGTTGCGTAGTTAGTGTGAAGTGTGTCGGTCACAACTGCTTCACAGAATGCTATGTTCAGTAGAGTGTTCACCAAATTGGGAGCGCAGTTAGTGCTCTGCTTTAGGGTATGGGATGGAGTCGTAGAAACGATACAAAGAAGCTTCTTAAGCAGAAAGAAATATATTTAATGTCTGTTTTTCTGACAGATATAAATTCTGTACCTGCGCTTTAACAGCAGATTTGACCTGTAGTTGTCATTTCTTCTTAGTAGGTCATTTAGAGGCGTATCTTTGTTATGCGTTCACGTGACCATGTTTGGAAAAATCGATTTAATAATCATGCAGGTGAATGTTTTGTGATATAGTGGCTTTTCTCAGCTGATGATCCTTCTTTAAAAAAAGGTGGTAGAAGATGCAGTGGTTAAAGCAATCCCTTGAGATCTGGAAATTTGTTCCTTGCTTTGCTGCTGATTTCTTACGTTAGGAAGGTAAATAGTATAAGGAAATGGTGGACTCCAATTCAATATCTCCACTGCAGCGATACTGTTTGGATTGTTGCTGAATAAGGAAATGAGGCTATTTCATTGAGTCATGACAGTTTTAACTCTTCCAAGAAATATTTTTGCAATGTTGAAATGGGTATGGAGGGAGTCAGAAGTTGCATTTATATCCTTCTCTCTTTCTCTCGCTTTCATTTTTCTTTCATTTCTTTTATTTTTCAAATTAAATGACTTCACAAGATAAACTTAAGGATCAGTACTTGCTACTGTATTTTTTTTAAATGCTACTTTAACATTTATTTAATGTTTGGAAAACATTAAATCAGAAAATAATTCACTGCTTTTCTCTTTACTGATAGTTGCTTTTTATGTAATTAGAATGTTACATTAGAAGGTTTGATAAACAGGAGAATGAAATAGCCACAGTCTCTTCCACTCTTGGCATGGGCTACGTGATAAGAAGTTATCATGTCTTAAATCTTGCACTGAGTACTGCGGGATTGCAGTCCTGGCAGCATATCTTTGGTGGTCACGAGAGCACTCATTTGATTGCACTTTCCCGTAACGCTGAAACTGGCATGCATAAAATAGCTGTAATCACAGACTCTTGCAAGTAATCCATGGGCTCTATTAGATTCTGAGACAATTAAGTGGATGTTCATTCAAATACCTCTTGACTGAATATTTTATGGGCTACTTGTAAGTGAAAACTTGGTATGAAGTAAGACAATTTCCTTGTCTTTTTTTTTTTTCCAGGTAACTGATTTCTAAAAATAGGGAATGGTTTCTTTTTCACTGCTATGTTGTATCGGTTGCAAAATAAAAAGGAATTCTAGCATAAATATTTGCGCTACATCTGGCACTTGCTCTCAGACTCTTAGCTATTACTGGAATCCAACCTCAACTGCTTTACAAATCCCTACAGGTCGGGGCCCCGTGCGGCACAGAGCACTGATCGTATTCCCTCCTTTTAGGTTACTATCACAATAGTACGAAAGTGGCTGTGAAGACTCTGAAGCCTGGAACGATGTCTGTGCAAGCCTTCCTGGAGGAAGCCAACCTCATGAAAACACTTCAGCATGATAAGCTCGTTAGGCTTTATGCTGTAGTGACCAAAGAAGAGCCTATTTACATTATAACAGAATTCATGGCAAAAGGTGAGAACAACATCAGATCTGCAAGCAATGTTTTAGTAAGCTCTTCCACTTCTAAATTAGTCCCCTTTCTTTAAAAATGAAGAAATAAAAAAATAAAACTTGGGATTTTAGCATTCTTTTGAACGCTCCAATATCCTCCTAGAGGGGGGCCGAGGCTTTAATTTTATTATTCTGCTGCATTTCTGAAATAAGCTATTTTTACAGTTTTCTTAAACACAGCATTTTTAATTGTTTCAGATGCAGAGTGTAACCCCCAAAATAACTCTGGTTGCTTTGGGCTCCCTACCTAACTTTTGTGTCTGGTGTCATAGCAAGGCAATTAAAACAAACCTTAGAAATTGCCTTATGTGGCCCTTGAATTGATAAAGACATGTGTAAGAAGGTGAGTGAGGAGTGGTCCTGTGAGGATGGCTGCACTGCTAGTAAAGGACAACATTTATTAGAGCATTACTACACAAAACAAGTGAGGTTTCCTTCTCAGATTGTCTTGGGTGGAAGTTTGTCTTGTTTTGTTCTGTTTTCAAGCAATTCTGCTGATAACTTCATAAACAAGTGTTGAGCCACTTATTCTTTCTGACTTGGAAAGGATTGATATATGTGGTTCTCCTAGACAGCTTTCCTGATAGTCTGTAGACTGGGGTACGTACCAAACTCAACATCACTGATCCAAGGTATGGTCCAACGGGAGTTTTCTACACCCAGGAAAAGGGCAAAACTTGGATGTTACTGTTGTTAAATCATGTAAAGAGACTGCCTTACTGTAGTCAACTTGAAAAGACTTCACTGCAAAAATTTTGTGATCCAGAAAATTGAGGACCTGGCGTGACCTTTATTTTGGTAATAAGCTGCACTGACTTAATCTTTCTCTGTTGTACCAGGAAGTTTGCTGGATTTTCTGAAGAGTGATGAAGGAAGTAAACTGTTGCTTCCAAAGCTAATTGACTTCTCTGCTCAGGTAAATTTTAAGAAATATGCTCAAAATTAACGGGGTTTATTTCTCTCAGTCTGAAATTCATGCTGGGCAACTTTATCCTAAGTTTTTTTGCATTAAAAAAGAATTTAATTTTTAAATAAGTTTTGGTCTGAGTAAATAAGGTTACTTGAAAGGAGGGAATAGACAAAGAGGTTTGAAAGGGAATATGTGACGTTAGGTTTAACTCTTAGATACTGGTGGTGACCTGCTTAGATGGCAGCAGTAGGAGCTGCTTTCCTTTGTGGAAAGGCTGCTTTCAACTCAAGTGGGCGTGAGTTGAAAGTGTTAAGTACAAGTTTGTGAATTTGTGCTTAGGAGATTCCTTTGATGTTAATAAATGTGTCATTTTTACTTCTTAAGTTAGGTCAGTTGGTCAAACTTCTCTTAACCTCAAGGGACTATTGTTGGTTTCAAATTCTAGTGTAAATTACTGTGAAATAAATGAAATCTAATCAAATGATGTTTCAGGTACTAGTATCTGATTTCAGAACCGAGATGATTGTCTCAAAATATACAGGTTATACCATGTCATAAATTACATCTGTAGAGAGAGACCCCAGAGTCATTTGTGTGTCAAAGCCTGGACCCAAGGTGCCTGGAGCCCAGTGTTTTGCCTCGGACAGTTGCCAGCATTAGATGTCCAGGGAGGCATGTAAGAAAATACAGTAAGAATTGTCCTTTCGCAAGTTGTAGTTCATGTTACTAATAGGTAATGAAGACATTTTTGGTAGGTTATTGTTTCACCAACCTTTTGGGCGTTTTATTATGCATTAGAGTTTACAGACTGTTCTACCCTATTACACTAAGTTGTCATGAGGAAAGATGAGAAAACTTTAAAAAGACATAATAAAACATTAGGGATCTAAACCAAAAATTCACTATAAGAATATTATATAACTGTTTTATATAACTATTGCTACATAAATAAATATAAAATTAGATGTTAGAGAACGTTTCTTTATCGAGAGGGTGGTCAGACACTGGAAGAGGCTTCCTAGAGAGGTAGTCGATGCCCGAAGGCTGTCAGTGTTTAAGAGGCATTTGGACAATGCGCTTAATCGCATGCTTTAACTTTTTGTTAAAGCAGCCTGAAGTGGTCAAGCAGTTGGACTTAGATGGTCATTGGAGGTCCTTTCCAACTGGAACTAGTCTATTCTATGGTATATTGTATATATTATATATCACATGTTGTGACATAGATGTTCAGTATATCAAATAGAGATTTTTATTTAACATAGATTCAATGCAGAAGGTGTTTTTGCTATAATTGTTGGTTCAGTGCAGCTGTAGGCTTTCCAAGTTTTCTGAACTCTTTGGGTAACTTGTCCTTGAGAATTTAGTGGGGCAGAAGCTTAGTAGATGTGGAAAACCTGCTGGATCCCAGGTCATGGTCTGGGGCCATGAATAACAGTGAGCAGAAGAAAAAAATGTAACTTTGAAAACAGTGTGTAAAATTCAAGGGAGAGACCATCTGTGGGCAGTGACGTGAAAGGAGACCCAGAATGTGAAGAGGAAAGCACATGTGGTTTTGTAGCAGACCTTTTTATTGGAGTTAGGGATGTTCTGTTCATTTTAACCAGATATTGTGTTTTCAGAAATTTAAGGCTTTAAAAGCTTAATGAACTAGAGAGCAACTCTGTGTACAACTTGGGTAAATCACTTCCAAGATGATAAGGGTCAGCGATTGTCATTTACAAAGCTTTGAAGGTCGAGACACTTGAAATGGACATCGCTTGTCACCCTGATTTGATGGCAACCTTTGAGAGCCAGGTCCTGCTTTGAAGGTCGAGACACTTGAAATGGACATTGCTTGTCACCCTGATCTGATGGCAACCTCTGAGAGCCAGGTCCTGTGCTTGGCCTCAGAGGCCAGGCCCTGATAT